GATAGTCACATTTGAATTTCTTAACGTTCTGTGAGGCACACATTACTTAGGTTGCCAGAACCAGCCTGTTTTCCCTAGCCGTAGGAGTGAAAAACTGGTGAATCACAGTCCTTCCTCTGTTTTCTGCTTTCCTCACCTCCATCTTTCTTTCCTCACAGTGCAGAAGCTATGAAAAGTCAAAGCAGAGCCATGTACTTAATGATCGTTCAAACAGAAAGCCTMCCAAAATCTTTCTGCTTTCTGCTCCCCTGTGGCAGAATCTCTGACTGGAAAGAAAAATCATTAGTGCAAACACTAATAATAAGGTTCTGGTTCTGAGGAATCAGGAGTGCTTTCAAATATATGGATTGATATTTATTAAATGCACTTACGGAGTTCAGAAGGTACAACATGGCCAAATGAATATTGCTTCTGAAGCCATCATTTCTGAGCTCAACTTTTCCATATGCTGGGGCTTCTTAATACTCCATTAATGCCTAGGCCATGCTGATTTTCCAGTAAGTAGGCCTAGCAGTCCTATAGGCAGCACATGTCACATCTAACAAATGCTGCATAGCTTGGGCCACTTGGTAAGAAGAAGTGGAGACAAGAATACTGTTTATGTAAGTATTTTGTCCTATAAGAATACTGTCTTCCTACAGTGGAAGAAAAAACAAAAGCAAAAAAAATCCAGAAACCCCTTCATGAAGAAAAAAATGCCTAAAGGAAAATGTTCCACGTCTGCAACTACCAATTTGTATTCTCTCGCTCTTCGTACTGTATGGATTAATGTGWACAGGGCAATTGTTTTATATTTAGCTGGATTGAGCGGCAGCATTCTGGAGCTGAGCACCCCGAGCGATGGGGTGATCCATTAAAGCATTCTGCTGACATACGTCTTTGTCCTGCCAGCAGGAGGATTCTGCCAGGGTGAAGTGCCAAAAGAGATTTCAATACCGAAGTTTTAACTAATTCAAGGAAATTGTTATGTAATCTGACTGCCAAGAATAGCGCTCATGTATACTGTTACAGAGATGTGAGGAAGCTGAGTTTATTCGCATTTGCAAAGTGCTTTGATAAAAAGGTATTAGAAACACTAATATATTATCATGCTAAATATGTATTTCAGTCTTTGAACCGGGATTGGATATATGCAAAATAAGGTAAACAAGATTTTYAATTAATATAAACTGAAATCATTTGTCTAAATGATCCAGGCTTATGTCGGTTTTACATCAACAGGTTATCTTTGCCAGTCTCAGAGAGCAAATATTTGGCATTAAGAAATAAAACAACAACAACACAACCCTCTCAGACTTATTTAATGACAATTCTTTTTTTCTCCTGTAGCCCTCTAGTCACTGGACATGTGCTATTTTTGCTTTTCTCCTAGTGAGAAAAACTAGGAAAGGTAAGTGCTGGAGAAAAAAAATTGCATTAAAAGCCTGGCTCAGACTTAATTATACAAGATGTGATTATATGTAAAGTCTGGTTGATTTTGTGCCTCTGTCATTTGAAGACCTCCCTGACCTCAGTAGATGTAGCCAATTAGCTAGTAAGTAACTTCTATTTATTGTACTTCTGTGTATGAGGTCTTTCTCTGCCATAGCTGCTGACATGCTGTAAATGCAACAGCATGTCCCACCTTGACAATAAAAATGGAAAGAGAGACACCATTGGTCGAAATAGTAGTTATTTATAGTAAAAGCACATAAGGTAAAAGCACATATGCAGGTGGCATTGGGTGGAATAAATTCATACCTATTTGTTGGAACTTTGACATTTTACCTTGGAAAAGTATTTACGTACAAGCCTTGTTTTAAGCTGCTGTTCAACATTTATTCTTTACCTTTAATCACACCGGGAGGTTTTAAATACAACCATTAAACAAACAAGTTGTGGCAGTCAAGTTTATGGTGTATTGGATTCTTTCAGAGCCTTTTAGAGTAGGTTTACTTCCCTCAAGAAAATAACATGCAATGGTTTTACATCGTTTCCACAGACTCAATTAGACTAGAAGTCYTCTGGAAAAACTGGACAGTTGCACTAATTTTTCACATTTAATTTTTTTGAGGAAAAAAAGAAAAAACCCTACTCTTTGTATAAGGTAATCAATGTTTAAGAATAGGTATCTGGTACTGTTATTCAATTCATGATTTTTCTAAAGAATCAGGCCAAATTAATCTTTGGTAAAGGCTTTTCCCATACAAGCAAGATATAAAACTATCTTGGTTTATACTTGGCTCATACAGGTACAGTTATGCAACTGTTCTTTGGCTTTGCTGGGTTTATTACACTTAATTAAAAAGAAGTGTTATTGATACCGGATAATGTTATAGATAAATTATATTTGATTAAACTGAATAGTTCATTCTCTCCTGTTTGCATCTTTAAGAACTAAAAACAAGATTGTCCTGCATGATGGAGTTTTTTTTTTTTTTTTTAATTGCCAAGGAACAGGTTTGATGAATATTTAAAATACTTTGTCTGTGACACGGTACGCAGAATATCCACAAGAGGGAACTGTTTTACATAAAGAGGAGATATTTCTTAGATCCAGAAAGCAGTAATTTAATGGCAAAACCATCCAGATGAACGTCAGGCTGGCATGATTGTGTCCCACTCTATGTTATACGGTAGCAACAGGAACAACGCAGCTAGAGATAACATTCATCATGTTTTGTAAATATTATTCAATCAAATAAGCACATTTTGAGCTCTTGTGTTGAAATATTAAATAGAACAACTAATCTTTCTTAAGTTTTGTGTTTACTCAGAATATATGGCTCCAGGAAGCATAGCTGGAACACCTTGTTTGCTGTGAAGGCAACAGGGCTGTGTGGGGCATGGCTGTGCATCACACCTGCCTCTGCCTCCCTTTGGAGGCTCAATGATGGGTGAAAGGATCCTCAGGGAAGCATGACACCAACCCAAGGCTCTTCCCCCAGGCCCCGGTGAGCGAGGGCAGTGCTAGGCTGGGCCCAGCGGGTTGTGGGGAGCACAGGTGCTATGGCAGCATGGCCAGGTGCTGCAGGTTGTAGCTATGGCAGGMAGCTTATCTCGGCCTGACTTGTTTTGTGCATTGAAAAATCCTCCACTCAATCCTCCCGCAGGAGCCTCGTGGGAGCCGCTTCCTTCAAGCATTGTGTAACGGACTATCAGCTTTCCTCCGGGATACGGTAACGCCGTGTTTTCTCACTCTACACTCTCGTCTGATGCCATCTCTGCTCAGAGGCCCCTGCTAACCGGTTCCTGACAAGGAAGCCTCTCCTGACGGGCTGTGGGGAGACACCTGGATGCKCTACATCTGTAGACAAACGTCACCACACAAGAGCTGGAAGGCCAGAGAGGCCCCCGAAAGCTCTTTCCCAAGGCTGAGGTGAAAAGCCCAGGACACAGGGGCAGAGGTGCTGCTGCTCCAGGTGCAGAAATGGCTCTCRCACGGGTGGCTCTGTGGGGAGTAGCTCTGACGGGGAGGTGCACACAGGGAGGCTGTGGGATTTTACCCTTGGAGAGATGACAAGAGGATCTGCGTAACAGCCAGTGCAGACACCAGGGTTAGCGGAGCATGTGCGGATCAAGATTAATGTGTGTGTGTGWGTGTGTGTGTACGTATATYCTCGGTTTCAGTCGCAGTGTGGAAAAAGCAGCAGATGACTGTTCAGATTTTCTCGATGGCTCCCTGCCTCCCCCCGCCTTCGGTGTGCTGCTTTCGAAGCAAGCAGGAGCCAAGGAGACAAGCGCACCGCTTCTCTCGCCGGGTCCCCCCCGYTGCCCCTCTCAGCGTGCCGTTTTAAACCGTTATTCCTCTGCCGAGGTTCCGTTCCGGGGATGCTCCGCGGGGCGTCCGCGGCGTTTCCCCGCGGCGCGGGCGCGCCCGCCATGGCGCCCCGACACGGGCTGCGCGCTCCCGCCGCCGCCGCCACCTGCTGCTGCAGCTCAAGCGGGCGCCCTGCCGGCCCCGCCGAG